TTTCCCTGATCCTCAGCATTCACCCCCTCACTGGAAAAGTAAAATAAAATTTTTTTCAGTGAATATACTGAAATTTTTTTCTGCTGAGACCTAACTTGTCAGTGGCCAAAGAGCATCTCAGAATTTTTCAGCAAGCGATCATAGCGGTTTTTCAGATGGATAGCCATGTTGGGAGTAGGTTGGATGGAGTCTGGTGGGATGGGCCGGTGATCGTTTCAAGGCTTGTTAATGAACCCTGGTGCAGGACGTGAGCAGTGAGCTTGAAACAACTGCTGCTCTGCTGTCCTGAGGCTGTTCTTCAGAGCAGACCTAGGGTTGCAATCCTACACTTTCTTGCTTAATTTTTTTTTACCTCCTCTTTACATGACTTTTGAATTTGTGACTTATGCATAACTGTATTTAGAAGTTTGAGAACTATTTCAGGTTAGGAGCAGTTTTCAAATACTTGATTTAGGAATTGCAAGGACCTCCTTAATGATGAATCTGGGAACTTTATGAATGCCCCAAGGTTCTTACAAATCGGCTCTTTGGAAATTTCTCATCAGTTACCACATTAATGCACATGAACTGGCTTTTTTACCCCAGCTGAACTTTTTATTGAGACACTATTACAAACAGAAAAGTCTATATCTTCAATGGAAATAATAGTAAACCTATTTTTTATGAACATTTTTTTTTTCTTTCTGTTACAGAATCTATCAGTAGGTACATAGTAGTGAACTGTAAATTGAACAGGTGAAATCTCAGACCAGGCTGGGTGGTAAATTAATTGATGCAGAATATGTTGTATCACAAACTCTGCTGTTAATGTTCATTACAGGTTAAAACACAAAACAGTTTGTTCGTGAACATACTGCTTTATAAACAAGATTTTTTTTGAAAACCTGTTATCACACAGATGTGGTGTCATACATAATTAAAAACAATAGCTAATGCAATTGTTATGTCAGGATGTGTCACTTTGAAAAATTTCTCAAACCTGTTTTCGGGGATTGTTACAGATATGTCAGCTTTCATGAAAACCACATTTGAGGTACCAGTTAATTTGTGTAGGCTTTTTGCTCCATGTGCTTGTAGGAATTTGACAAGCCCAGAACATTTTTAACTATAAAATAGTAACAATTCACAGGGTTAACAAATTTTAGTAATAAAGTACATCACTGCAAGGACAACCACATCATTCAAGCTGGTGGGATTGCTCTGAAGCTGTTGGCAGCTCAGTGTGTGGAAAGAAACAATTTTGTGTATCCAACCTGTTGTACTTCAGGAGTTACAGAGGAGGGGTTTCATCAGCAAGTTTGGCCCCTCTGCATCTCGCAGGGCTTGTGCTTTTCCGCTGCCTGCACCCTCCTGATGAGTTCTTCAGAGAAGTAGAGGGATAACTGTCCTAAGCAGATACCTGTGGGGCGTGCTGCTTGGTAAGGTCCAGAGAACGCTTTGTTGGTTTAAATGTTGTCCCAAAATAAAGCTTTTTAAATTTTTTTTTAAAGTCTGAGGTTTGTGGAAGTGCAACTGGGAGTAAGAGGTTTGGAATCTTTTAGAAGCATCTGTGGGAGTTGGTGTTTGTTTGTTTTTTTTTTTTTTAAAAAAAAAAGGTTCTCCTTTCAGGCCTGTGACTCAATGATGCCCAAAGGGGAACTTGGAAGTGAAAGTGGCACCAGCTGCTTTTCCCATTTTTCATTTTTGGTACCGTGACTTGCCCTTCATTGTTTCCGGAGCTATAAGCCCACATGAAAAAACAGGTAGGGTATGTATATACCAGGAGATCTTCGTTCTGTAGCACACATTCAATTAACGTACCGATGATTAATAGGAAGTTTAAGAAGGGAAATACAAAAGTCCTTCAGTGATTTACAGAAGTTATCTGAGGATTGTATCTGTTATCTGTGTGTGTTGTATGTGTAGAGTAATTAGTGAATGGACCAGAAAGGGGGGAAAAACCCCTAGTCTTAAATCTGGAGCCTTGTAGAATTTCTTCAGGAAGCTCTTATTCAGTCTCAGTGCTTTTTCAAACATCAAGGCGTCAAGAGTAATCTACCATCAGTCTAAAAGAAGAAAGCAGAAGTTAGCTTTACTCTTGCCTTACCATAATATTGTTAGCAATCATAAAACCTAACTAGGCTCTTCTAAAATCATGCTGTAACATTTAAGCAAATACCCTCTGATGCTGGTGGATTGAAGGTAGTGTTCCCGTTCTCCGTAATTAGTCCAGTATTCTGTGCTTTTTCTCATGCCGTAAAATACCTTCATATTTCCTGTAGTTTACTGGAGAAATACTTATTTTCTGCATTTTGTGAGCTGTTAGTGAATGGAGAAGAGAGAGAGAGAGAATTTATTGAAAAAAAATTTATTCGCATTTGTGGTACTTGAAGTTTGCTCTCACCAATTCTGATCTTCAGCGTAGTTAATATTATTTGGAATTAAAGTCCTCGACACTTACTATCACTTGTTATTGTTGTATTGAAAAGCATATATTAAATGCCAGTTCATAATACTTGAAACTACTATAGATTCTGAGGCCTTATTTTTAACTACTTAATTATCTTTACTAATGATTTTGTACCAAAGAGCTTCCCATTATGAACACACTTGGATTCAAATAGTTACTGTTTTCATGCCCTTTGATATGGATTTGACTGCAAGATTAAAAGCATACTGGTATCTTATTTAGGTGTTTAGAGAAACTGGTTTTAATACCAGTTGTGTAATGCAACCATATGGGTGCATCACCTTCGATAGCTTCATCCTCGTGAAGCGTTGCAGTGGTTTTAAACATATTTTGTCACGCTTATTTGGGAAATAGCTTCAACAGCACTGTCACGCAAAGAGAAACATCTGTTCTCAGTTCTATAAGTAAACATCTTCAGTGTGAACTGAAGACTAATCATTAAGCAACAGAAGATAAGTACTGAAACATCGCTTTGAATTATTGCATAATGTAGGATGTGATGCAATAAAGCTTTTGGAATAAATTATTAGATAGATATAAAGAAATTAACCTAGTAACCAAATACTGCTCAACCAAACTTCTTCCTTGTATTCAGTTATACTTTTCCTTGCCTCTTTTTTTTTAAAGAGATCACCATATCTCTCTTCTAAAACTCTACTTAGTTTTTTCTTGCCTATTTAGACCCCCCTGAACACATTGGGTTTTTTCCTACACCTTTCCATTTATTGTCCTTAAAATTTTCGGCTTAATTGTATGTTGTGTCCTGCTCTTCCTTTTTATGTTCACACTTGGGGTTTGAAGCTTGGAAGTTTTAACAGAGCACTGATTCACTGCAGGAACAATCAACTTCTCACTTTCAGAGCTTCCAGTGCAAGAAGTGGACTTGTTCCTCCAGAGGCCAGATCTTACAATTCATGTGGTGGCTTTCTCAGTCTTGCAGCTACCCTGATGCCTCCCAGCCCGTTTGGCCAGTGGTCCATAGGCTTGCGATAGTGTGCTTCCTTAACCTGTCCGTTAGCCTTGACTTCTGCGCAATGGGATGTCCGGCTTTATAGGTTTTCTTTGTTTTGTATTTTCATTCTTACCCCACATGTCCTGGTGATGGACAAGCAGTAGGAAGGTGACA